AACATATATTACGTATATACTATATATAATAATAGAAACGACATCAAACAACAAGATGATTCATTTGTTAGAATGAAATCAAGTCAAGAAAAAAGATGCATTAATGTTATTAATGAACTCGTAGGATTTAACTACTTGAAGGTACTGTGAAAAAACGTAACTCTTTCTTCTTTTTTTTCTTCAATTAACTACACTCAATTCCCTTGTGGAAAGCTCCACTTAGAGTTGAGTGAGGTCAGTACATTGTCGATTATTATACAATACATTACACACGCGGTATCGTACTTCGCGGATGCTCCTTTTTTGCAAAGAGAAAGAACAATCTCAGATACTTTACATATATAGAGAAAAAGGCACCTCTGGATGCGTAAGAGACGTTTTGATGGAGATAAATAAAATGAATTATCACATTCGACAACTCGTAGAAAAAGGAAGAATTAAAAGGAAAACCCTAATTGTCGCGCTCTCATGCGCCCGTCTTACTTAACAACGATAATAGTGGTTTGTTTCTTTCTTTCTTCAATTGTTACAAAGGTGGTGCTAACTTCGTCCATTTTCATCATATAAAAACGGATTTCATACCTATCACATACAAAGTCTGAAACGACAATGTGGCACAAATATATATAACTCGTACCGAGCCAAGAATCTTATATATTTCTCATACTCGACTTGGTTGGAATTTAATTACTTTCACTCAGTTCTCTCTCTCTCTCTCACTTTCGCTCTCGCTCTTTCTCACGTTTGTATCCGAGGATACGTCAAATACACAATTAGAATATTTTTAATGACAAGAATACGGCAGTACTACATAAGGAAACCGTTCTGCGGATCGAAACAGCTCGGATTTATGTAGCTCAACAGATCATGCTCCGACATTGAGGTTAACTCTTGGGGCAACATACCGTCTTCCTGCTTTCTGACCGTCGTACCGTTCGCACTGTTTGCCGTATTAGCTATAGGTGGGTTTACATTCTGTCTGTTGGGCGTTACGGGTAATGCAACGGGTGGTGATTTACTCGCGACCTGTTCAACCATATTATTCTGACCGGAGGGCGATTTAGGCAGAATACCCTCCATAGCACTATTCATTAACTGCGCACTCTGAGTGGCCACGCTGTTCAGTATATTCTTCGTAGCGATGATGGCATGCGCGGTTGTCGTGGTAATGGGTCGATTATTAATGATGTCTTGAGTAGCATTAGTAATTACATTATTAATCGCCTGTTCAGCAGCGTTGGTTAACCTCTGCTGCGATGGTTCTTGAGCAGCTCCACTCGCCAAAGCAGAGCTAGCCTCTGCAACGAAACCTGCAGGCTGATTCAACATAGAACCGATATCTTGCTGCACAGCCTGCTGCATAGCTTGAGCAGCTTGCGCCTGCTGCACCGCCTGTTGAACCGCTTGAACCTGTTGGACCACTTCCTGCGTAGCTTGCTGCACTGCCTGCTGGACCACTTCCTGAGTAGCCTGT